ATATTTATACAACTTAATAATAAAGATTACCAATTTTTTCTCTTTTTGCAAGGTTAAACTTTGATTTTCACATGTGAAAGAAACAGTGTTTAAAATGGCTTATGACCACATAAATACATTAGCCTAATATAGTTTATACTTAGAGATTTTTCATGTTTTAGTATGATTTTTGTGTCTATTTATCCACACACTACTTAAAAAATTTTATGCTCATGGTATATACCTGAACAGGCCTCTCCATGACAAAGTAATTACATCTTATATTGACATTCCCAGTAAGGTTGTTTGAAGCCTTTGACTGCTGCCCCTTATGGTGCTAACTGATGGAGTGTACACAGAAGAAAACATTTTAGCTTTGATTTCAAGTGATTCAATTTTAAGTCAGTGTGTTTGCATTCGTGTTACATCATCCTCATTGTGTGTATACTATGTATTTAATTTTGATCATTTATGTTCTAAAGGAAAAAAGCAGTAGTTATGCAAATTCATATTCATTTTACCCTTTGCTGATCTGCTTGCCAGAGATTAGAACCAGATCTCTAGATATGTCCCACTTATTTGACACTCTCTTCTCTCTTTTCAGTGAACCATTTCCCATTTATCTAGGCACATCTTTCTAGCCCTACCTATAACCAACTGAGAATTCCTTAAAACAGAGGTGGTAAAATACATAGCACTTTAAATGCCAAATTGATGATTTCTCAAAGATGGAATAGCTGCACTCCATTAAAATATTTAAACAAATGATGTCATAAACATTTGCTTAAAGAGAATATTTGCTATATACTGAACTCCTTATATAAGTGGGGAATAAATCTTTATTTTCATTAAAAATAACTAGAAAAGTAGAAGTGTTGCATGGTTTTGAGCTTCTCTTGTCATTGGAACTTGTCACTTTTACTTAGACCTCTTATTGCCACCTATTTAATTCTCCTGCATGTGAAGTCACAGCAAAAATCTAGACAGCTATGCAGGGGAGAGACTACCATAGCATCAGGTAAATGCAATTCTTGGGGAAATTATGCTAACATGACTCAATGTGTTTTCTAATAATCCCATGAAGAAATTATCATTGAATAATAGTAAGATAGAAAAGAAACACATCTATTGCAACAATCGTCATGTTGTCACTTAGCCTGTGTATCCAGTTCAGCATTCATGTATGTATTAGCAGAAAGTTATTTTGTGTAGTTCAGAGAATCATTTTTGTTTGATGTATGATTTGGAAATTTTGTTTGCATTATGTCCTTAGGGGTTTTCTTTGTTTTAACAGCATGCAGCTTGACAGAAATACACTACCCAAAAAGGGACTAAGGTATATATTTCTCTCAGCACAACTGCTGCCCTTTTCTGTTGTTGCGTAAACTTTGTGTGCTGTCTCTCTTCCTCTTTCTGTTTGTTTGCAATGTAGCACCTGACCTTGAAGATGAAATCACTTTTAAAATTGATGCTTCTCTAGCTTCAAGAGGATGTGAATGCTCCTTAGAAAGAGCCGCTAATAGGGATGGACATTGTGACTCAAATGAATCCCAGTAGGAATATCGCTTTTTTGAAATAACTTGTCCAAAGCTTTGCTTATGAGGGCATCATCTTTTGATAGAATGCAGAAGTCATTTTCCCATAATAAAAATAAAATTATTTCCCCAACTTTTGCATCTTAGAGGCATAGACTTGCAAAATCTCAATACTGTGCCTGGGGAGGCAGCTCAGTAGATTAGAGTGCATAAGCATGAGGATCTGAGTTCAAATCCCCAACATCTACATAAAAAGCTACATGTGGACACATGCCCTCTAACTCCAGCACTGTTGGAGGTGGAGACAGGAGGCACACTGGAGCTTCTGGTTGCCAGATTAGGTCCAGGCTTGGTGAGAGACTCTAGGGACCCCATTTCAAAGGAATAAGACAGAGAGTGATAGACCAAGATACCAGGTTTCCTCTTCTGGCCTCTGAATTCACACGTGTGTATGCACCACATACATATACCACACATATTCACACACAAAGATACACACACACACAGAGAGAGACACAGACACACACACACACACACAGACACACACACACACACACACACACACACACACACACACGTACATTTTTTCCAAAAAGAAAAGCAACTCAAAACCTACATAGTCCACACCTATGACCAGTACTGATGAAAGGTTGAAGGATTCACTAATAGAATCAAAGAAAACATGTTTTTATCATCACAAGGAAAGTGTGCCAATAAAGGTATGTTTTTTACAAATTACTTTTGATGAAAGCTTGAGTCCAAATGTCTACTTTTTAGGTCTGCTCTTGTCTACCAGGTCAGTTCAAACCCGAGTTAATGTAGTATCATTTCATAATCTCAAATGATTATTCAGTTCAGAATAAAAATAATATGAAACTGTGATTAATAGCTGTGAGTCTCTCTTGCACATATTTTTCCAAGGAAGTTATGCAGAGAAAGCTGCTGACAGAGGCACCGCATTGGAGTGTGATAAGCTGGCTGCCTTAGGTGTTAAGTTCTTTATTACTGTGGTGAAATAGTGGCTGCTGGCCAACTTAGGCATCTCCTTTATCCTCTTCCTCTCTAGTGCACATCTTACAAGTATTTTCATTTTAACATTTGGTTCTATACATGTATTTTCCAATGAAATGAACATATTCCTCTCTCATTTTTAAGAAAGAAACCTCTGATGTCAAGTGGCATTTTCCCCCAAAGAACTGGAACTGTCCATTTGTGTTTCATTTCCTCTGCCTTTCTGTGACCATCACTACACTCTCCTTGGCTTCTGGGCTACTGCTGTCCACCATGCTGAATCCATGTCTTCACCCTCTCTACATTGTTCTAAACACTGTGCTTTGGGTCTTTCTGCTCCCTGCTTATGATTTTCAAGTCCATATCTCACAGAAGCATTGTTTTCATCTCAAATGCCTTTTTTTATCCTGCGGGAATCAAGCAGATGGTGCCAAATCATCTGGAAGAACTGAGCAGTTGTAATTAGAGCCAATCTGCTTGCAATTGCTGTTCAATCTGAATAGTAACCTCCTCCCAATTGTTTTCTTGTCCTGGTGTTGCCTTGTCCTTGTAGATGTGCTGAAGTGTCTCAGCTGTGTTGTTTTGCAGATATACACCATCATCTCGGCAAGCCAACCAAGAAGAGGGCAAGGAGTGGCTGCGTTCCCATTCCACTGGAGGGCTGCAGGACACCGGCAACCAGTCACCCCTGGTCTCCCCTTCTGCCATGTCATCTTCCACCACAGGAAAATACCACTTTTCCAACTTGGGTAAAATATTCTATAATGTATATTGTGCTTCGTTCTACTTATCACCCACTCTCAAAAGCGCCTTAGTATTCTTCCTCAAAAAAGCATTGACTTAGTGCCTACTGTTCAGAGAATAATAGAATATTTCTCCTCTCTCTCTCTCTCTCTCTCTCTCTCTCTCTCTCTCTCTCTGAGAAAGAGTCTCCCTATAGCCACAGCTGGCCTAGAAGCTATGTAGACCAGGTGGTCCTCGATCTCATGGAAATTCACTTTACTCTGCCATCTGAGTGTTAGGATGAAAGGAATGTGCCACCACACACAGCCATGGAATATTTCTAAATATTAAATCATTTATTCTTTATGACAAACACTTAACTTAGACGATGACTGTAGTTTGTGATTGGACTAAAAAATGTGTTAATACCAAGTGCCCTTCCATTCTTTCCTCCAATTCCTCTTTAAATCCAGTAAAACATGCTATTTTTGTTTAAGAGAATTAATGATCATCCTGTAGACAAATAGAAGCTAAAAATAAGCAGAGATCAATATGCAATTTTATGAATAAAAGTTTTAAAAATATTATTGAAGTTAAAACCTTCAAATGCATATGAGACATCTATGAAGACATCATTCCATGAACAAATGTTCGCGGAGAATACATTGAAGAAAATATTAGGGCTGGAGAGATGGCTCAGTGGTTAAGAGCACTGATTGCTCTTGCAGAGGACCTGGGTTTGATTCCCAGTACCCACATGGCGGATAACAACCGTTCATAACTCCAGCTCAGGGGATCTGACACCATCCCTGACCTCTGTGGGTACTGCACGACACAGGCAATACACTCATAAATATCAAATAAAAATAATAAATAGAATATTTTAAAAACAGGTTTCTCTTCCCCTAAGCCACATATGAAGTAATTGCATCATTTTCTCTTTTGTTATTTGAGCAAGAAAGTATTTTTAATGTTGCCACAGATAATCTGCAGCTCAACAATTTGAATCTCAACTTTAAACACCAAAGACTATATGTTTCCTATTTCAACTTTTCCCACTGCACCAGTTGGGAATTTTAAGAATAAAAATAATAATCTTGGTCTTGAGTCCATATTAGCCAGTGTACTCTTATGAAGACCAGTGTTTTTGTTTAGTTTTGTTTATTTGTCTGTATCTACACAGTGAGGAAAACTCTTTGTCTCACAATGCCAAAATATGTATAGCTTTTTATTTTGAGACATAATTACAAAGCAACAAAAAGTTTAATGCTGAAGCTTTATTTTTTAGCAACACCAGCAAGCTAATTCTATTTGAAGCTAAGTGATAGTACAGATTAAGGAGGAGACACTGTCAGGACTGACAGCAGACCACGTGAGTGGGGATGCTCAAGAGCTGTGATCATTATTTGGGACTTCCCTTTATGGAATCTGAGCGTAGGAGGGGCTGGTTATTAAGAAGCATAGCTTGGGTGGTTCTCTCTTCTAATTGATAAATTAGGGCATTTCTAGGATGTCTCCCCAGCCTCATTCAGACTGTTGTACTTTCACCGGAGAACTCTGGAGTGCATCAGGCATACTGCTCCTTGGCCGTGTCAGAGTTCCAGGCTGTGTCCTTAATGACACCTTCATTGAGTCTCTTTACACTTTTGTAACCACAGCTCTTCCTCCAAGAGTGCCTCATCATAATGCACCTACATTATTTGCTGCATAGAAGGTCACTTTTTTCAAGTAAGGTGACTTTGAACGTTCAGGAGGCGGGATTTTTTTTTTGTTGTTGTTGTTTTGTTTTGGTTTGGTTTTTGGTTTTTTGAGACAGGGCCTCCCTGTAGCCCCAGCTGTCCTGGAACACACTATGTAGAACAGGCTAGCCCTGAACTCACAGAACTCTGCCTGCCTCTGCCTCCCAAGCACTGGGATTAAAGGCCTGCACCACCACGCCCAGCTTCAGGAGGCTATTTTAATCATTGCTCCCTGCTTTCTCTATAAGCCCTGGGTAATGCGTTTTCCCCCCTCTACTTTTCTGAATATTTATGTTTAGTATGTTTTTATTTTGTTGTTTTTCTCAGGCTAAACATAATTTTCTGTTCTCAAGCACAGCTTTCTTATCTCTCAAATCAGCATCCCTCTTCGCATTTTGAGGACTACAACTAGAAACAGCATCAGTACGATGGCCCATCATCCCACCTTGCACTGAAGTCTTCTTCAGGTCTTTTCTTCTGTCACCCTCGTAATTTCACATCACCCTTCTTCAACTATGCTGCTGCAAAATCTCACTGTAACAAACAATCTTACTCAAAGTACGCCATTTGCTTCTCCATGCTGTACAGATTCAGTAGAATAAAGCCTACAGTTCTGTCATTAAAACATCAAGATGCCATATTCACATTTCTTTCAGTGGTGTTACACTTTCTCGAGCCCCCTCTCATTTTAGATACTTTAAGTCAATTTCACATTGAACTTACTGCTTCTTCCTCCACTCATTCCACATTCACCCACTGGGATGTGGAGGAAGGGGATGTGGAGGAAGACCATCTCTTGGATACATGCCTGGATGCTATCAACAGACATGGCTTCAGTTGAGGATTAGAGGTCTCAATGCTGTGTTACTAAACAAAGAAAAAAATGACCAGTACATGTCAAATGAAAAGTACATGACAATACTTATAAAACATTGTTATGATATTTCTAGATCACCTGAAGTTATAGTTGTTGGGCAGTAAAGTGAATCCTATAAAATATAATAATCAATTAGAATGACTTATTAATTTTTAACATATAAGATGTAATTCCCTAATAAAATACCTCATATTCTGTGTTTATCTTTGGACATCACCTATTTCAATTTGATTGGTAAGATCATGACCATTACTACATTTAAGAGTTGCATTGCCTGTGTTTTTCTTTTTCTCTTTTCAATACCTTTGAGAGTTTCATGCGTGTATATAATGGATTCTAGTCATTTCCACTCTCATCACCTCCTCATTCCACTCTCCTCCATCTCCCACTGAAACCTTTCTTCTCTTAATTTCATGTCTTTTGTGTATGATCCACTTAGTAATTAAGATTACTGGCATTTTCTTTTTCTTTTCTTTCTGTCTTATTTTTCTGCTTGCCTTTTCTACCTATTAAAATTGTGTAATTGTGTAAAATGTTTATAAATATTACTGTAAAATTCAAATGCAACAAATGTTAAGGTATAATATTGATATATATATATATATATATATATATATATATATATCACTTTCAGTATATTTCAGTAGTT